TGACACGGCTTTGATTTTATTTAGTTGGCTGGCTTTCCAAGCTCCTAAGAGAAACTGTGGACAGGATGACTGAACTGCTATGGGTTGATGTTCCTACAAAACACCTGAAATAAGGAGAAAAGGTCTCCCCAGGCCCAGGCCTATATTCTTGACACTTGTGGATGAGGAGGTTAGCTGGCAGGAATCTATTTGTTCCAGAACTCATTCTATCGCGGAAGCCCTTCTACAGAAGAGGAAGGAGGAAGTGCCCCGCCCACATTTCAAATCTCCAGATGTTTTCAAATAACTTCCAGAAGCAAGTCTTTGTATTCCATTAGGATGCATGATGAATGTGTAGCTAAAACACTAGGGCTTCATCATTGATCTAAGTGGGAAGTCATAGTGCCCCATGTTGTAACAGAGTAGCATTTTCCGCTGAGAAAACACTCCAACCAAAACCTTCGAGTCATGAAAACTGAATTGGGATTTCAATGGCGTTAAGTAAGAAGGTGGTTCAGTATGAAATATAAATACTTTTGGAAAAAATTACATGTTGAACTCAGAACAATTAATACTGCTTTCTAATTACATGTCAATAGCTGTGGGAATTACTGTTCTCTTCCCCCATTTGTTATAGTATGTTAAAAAACATTATATTCACTTTTTTTTGAGATGGGAATATTGCTCTGTCGCCCAGGCTGGAGTGCAGTGGGCGACCCTGGCTCACTGCAACCTCCACCTCCAGGTTCAAGCAATTCTCCTGCCCTTAGCCTCCTAGTAGCTGGGATTACAGGCGCACACAGCACCCTAGTTAATTTTTTTTTTTTTTTTTTTTGTATTTGAGTAGAGACGGGGTTTCTCCATGTTGGCCAGGCTGGTCTCGAATCCTGACTCAGGTGATCCACCTGCCTCGGCCTCACAAAGTGTGGGATTACAGGCATTGGCCACTGTACCTGGCCTAAACTCAGTTTTTTTAACAATATTTTAAACACCTTATTTGGGTAGTTGTTACTTATTTTCTAATAAAGAATATGTTTTAAAACATAATTTATACATAAGATATATTTTAATTCTATTTTGTCCCTTGATTTATAGTATTTGCCCTTTATTGCAAGGAAGTCCTTAGGCATGATTTTTGAGAAAAAGATACCCGAACAGATTGTCTACAGAACAGGTAAGTCCACTGCCAAATTCACACTTGTGTTAAAGAGAGGGATCGGGGTGAAAACTTTGGAGGGGTAACCCAAGTGCGGGGGATTTGTCTGCCTTACAACCACAAAGAAAAAAAACCATTTTTTACTGGGGCAGCAGTGCAGCCCTGTGGATGAGATTCCAGTTCTCATAAAAGCTGCAAGCAGAAAATTAGCTTCATCTATAAGAATTCCATAAGGAACTGAGTAGAAGTTCCATATAACCTTTATGTTCAGAAATAAATGTATGGGGTGGGACACATTTTCAGGCCTCGAACTCAGTGGTAGGAAATGTGTCTATTTTCTAGCATGTCAGAACATTTCCTTGTGTGTCTCAATTCTGCTAGATGGTGGAAAATTTAATCTTTGCAATGTTAGGCAATCCTCGGTAATCCTCAGTTGTTTCATGGTTTATTTTGTCCATTTTGGGTCTCCTCTCCATTTCCCCACAGCCATGGTTAAATCATGGAGAGTATCTGAATGTCAAGACATGTAGGGCTATGGGGATCCGGTCCTTGGTCATTAGAACATCATCATCAAATGTCCATGCTGGGTTCTGTTGGGACTTCTATATTCCCATTGGATCTTGGCTGTCTCCTACTTACTGCAAGGTTTGCTTCACTCTCATTAAAAGATCTGATATTGAGACAACCAAGTATAAAGAGGTCACTGGAGAACTTCCAGCTGGCCTGCACACTGGGAGGAGTGCACACGGGGGTGAAGCCTCAGGAAGTTCACACCATTTGCAGCGGGGAAGAGCTGGCCTCTCCTGTTCCGAGGTGGAACCTGGGATTCAATCTGAGAGGCAGGAAGACTACTAGCAGGACTCTTGCTCTTTTGAGAGTCCCTATTTTCCCTTTTTTCTCTTTTCACCCGATAAACCCTACTCTTCTCACCCTTCAAAGTGTCTGTGAGCCTAATATTTCATGGTTGTGTGACAGTGACCCCATTACAACAATGTATCTCGTGGTTTCATTCTCTCAACCTCTTAGCAGCTCTCCAAGACACATTAGGCACAGAGGTACTACAAGGCTGCCTCTACTGTATTGTTTCTTCCTCTTGCTGGGTGCCAGGGAGCTCTATAACATTTATTGCCTTCTAGAGGTCTGTCTTAAAAGCAAGACAGGGCTGGGCGCGGTGGCTCACGCCTGTAATCCCAGCACATTGGGAGGCCGAGACGGGTGGATCACGAGGTCAGGAGATCGAGACCATCCCGGCTAACATGGTGAAACCCTGTCTCTACTAAAAATACAAAAATTAGCCGGGCGTGGTGGCGGGTGCCTGTAGTCTCAGCTACTCGGGAGGCTGAGGCAGGAGAATGGCATGAACCTGGGAGGCGGAGCTTGCAGTGAGCTGAGATCGCGCCACTGCACTCCAGCCTGGGCCACAGAGCAAGACTCTGTCTCAAAAAAAAAAAAAAAAAAAAAAGCAAGACAGGTTGTCCTCAGTTCTAGGATTCTCCAAACTCATGGAGCTTTCCAGCATGCTCCCCATCCTTCAGAAGTTGACCTGGGGAACACATAGCAGGGTACAGTGTCAAAGGTCAACCAATTTTTATTTCTATTGCTTCTCCTCTCTTGCTTCTCTTCTTCCCCTTTCAGTTCCCAGTATTGGAGGCCAGGAAACAAAGCAGGAGGAAAAACTGGCTCTGACTATCCATGGATTATTCCAAATCTATGCTTTTGTGCCTAGAATTCTAGGCTGTTAAGGATATTTTTTTTCTCAAGCTATCATCTCTGCAATTTCAAAATGGACACTTTGAAACTCATAACACAAATTGCCTCTTTTCTTTCTCTCTGCATTTCTGCTCTACCAGACCTCACTTGAATCAATAATATGACTGCCCAAGTGAGCAATCAGACAGGGTTAAGGAGGAAGTACCACAAACAAAAACATATTCGTTGATATTTCAAATAGATTATTCTACCTTACGAGTATCAGAGCTTCCTAGGGCTTAGACGCAAACAACTATTACATGTGATTTTTACCTTGCAATGATCAGATTTTTACCTTGCAAGCTTACCAAATAGATATCAAAAAGAAAGTTCAGGGGGATTACACAACTTGCCAGATTCACTCAATTAATACCAGTAGCACCAAGATTCAGATCTGAAGCCCACTATTCTTACTAATGCACACTCCTTCCCCCTAAAGAGAAGGAAGGAGGAAGAGGGAAAATTTATAAGGTGCTAATCTTTAAAGCCCTAGGAAGAGAACAGATAAGAACATTTTGCTCGTTAAAGCTGGCTGCTATAAGAGATCATGTTGATATCTGACAGATGGTAGGGGAGAAATGAATAAAACCAGTCAGTAATTCTCAAATTCTGCTGCCTTTCAACACTAGTATTCCATGAGTTGGGTAGAATTTTATTTTATTTTATTTTATTTTATCTTGTATCCTTTTGTTTGTTTGTTTTTACCATTAGTACTTAAGAGAAGTGGTCTTTTTTGAAGTCACCAAAATAACTGATTAATACATAGAAATTTCTCAAATTTAAGTTTTTTTAAAAGGGATTTTGCTGAGTTCGTGGCATTTCTATGACTTTTCCCTGTTCAAATGTTATGTTTGAAACCAGAATATTTCTGAATAAATGATCGGTTTCACCATGTATAATAATGTGGTAGTTAATCTATTAATAAAGACGAGAGTGACAATTTAATAAGTTTTTGGATGCAGACCCCGTGCCAGGTGTTCTACATTAATTATGTGTGTTATCTCACTTAATCCTCATGACAACTCTGTGAGAGCAAGACCATTGAGGAAAACAGGCTGAAACGGGGCCAGCAAATGGCTCAAAGGCACGTAGCTAATAAATGGCAGACCCAGGATTGGAAGCTATTACTAAATATATATTTTTAAATATCTAATTTAGTAAACTGAATCTATTGATTTAATTTAATTATACGGAATGTAATAGTCATGTTTTATTCTAGTCAAATTGTTTCTACTGGTGGCATTAAGCCTTTTGTTAAATGATGGTTTTCTATAAAGAAATCCTTAGAAACCTTCCCAAAATCGTAAATAATAACAACAAATACATGAAGCAAGGAACGTATGACTGTTAAAACTTATAGTTCATGGAGCATTTGTCATTATCCTCAGTAATTGCATATGGCATCCTGCCAAACTCAACAGTAGAATCACTCAAAGCGAGTAGCTGCCTTAATTGTTTACAGAAACAGTAAACCCCAATCAAAATCATGACAGAATATTCCTATTGTGTGTATGTGTGTCTTAACAGTTGTCCTTTGGTACAATTTTTCAACAAGTACCACCTGTTACTTTGGTGCTTAGAATTAAAATAAGTATAATTATAACTGTTACTGCCCCAAATCTGTGCCAGCCTCTGAGATGATCCTCACAGGACAGTCTTTGGCAATTCTGTTCCAAGCCTGAGTTTCAGAGCTACATTCATATTCCTACTTATCTCAGGAGACAGAATCAAATTCTCCACCCAACTCTTACCATAGTAATTGTTTATGTAACGTGTTTACTAAAGTGTAACACACAAACAGAAAAGTGCACAAATCATTAAATGTATAGTTCAATGAATTCTTACGATGAAAAAACCATCGTTAACTAATACCCAGCTAGAGAAACAGAATGGTAGTAGCACCCAGAAGCTCCCCAATACCCTTTATTTCCTTCCAGTCACTACTCCTCATCCACCCAAGGATAACTTATTATCCTGGCTTCTAACATCACAGATTCGTTTTGCCTATTTTTGAACTTTACATAAATGGGATCATTCAGCATGCGCTCTTTTGTGTCTCACTTCGTCCACTCAACATTGTGAGATGTATCGATGTAGCTGTGTGTAGTTGTAGATCATTCATGCCTCGTCCACCCTTTGTGTGTGCCTGCCTGGCAAACCAGACAATTCTCCTATGTGTCTACCAATGATTATATTCTTTTATAGCAAATGAATTGAGCCGATAGACAGATACATTTATTAATCTCAGTAAATGCAGTAGCTGATAAAAGATGCAAAAGGCATTCTAAGAGATGGTTCTTTTCATTATTTAACATTGGTATTTCACTTTCAAGGTGAAATGGAAGCTGGTGTTTTAACAGCTGTTTTAAAAATCATCATCTGTACAAAGATGCCAATATAAAAATTGTGATACTATTCTGCAGTTACAAAAGCCAAGCACAGAAAAGTTAATAACTGCCTTCGTTCTACTAGCAAGGGTCCTCGGATCCCTCATATTTCCAGTGAATGAATTCTATTTATACTCTTTTTTCCAAAGCGGGCAGGGATCTATGGGGAAGTGAAAGAGCAAAGTAAGATTTACTTTTATTTTCCCAAACAGAAATTAAGAAATTAACAGAAGAGGCCGGTCATGGTGGCTCATACCTGTAATCCCAGCACTTTGGGAGGCCGAGGCGGGTGGATCACAAGGTCAGGATATCAAGACCATCCTGGCTAACACAGTGAAACTCCATGTCTATTAAAAATACAAAAAATTAGCCAGGTGTGGTGGTGGGCACCTGTAGTCCCAGCTATTTGGGAGGCTGAGGCAGGAGAATGGAGAATGGCATGAACCCAGGAGGCAGAGCTTGCAGTGAGCCGAGATCACGCCACTTTACCTTGCAAGCTTACCAAATAGATATCAAAAAAAAAAAAAAAAAAAAAAAGAAGAAAAGAAAAAAAAGAAAGAAAGAAAAGAAATTAACAGAAAACAGAAGAAACCCTTTGTTCAAAAATAGCTGATGTTAAAGCATAAACAAATGAAACAGGTAAAAGCAGGCTCCTCTGGATAAAGGGTGGAAAGAGAGTGGAAGCCCATCTCTCTGTCCTCTTCTTGGCAATGGCAGCTTCTAGTGGCCTCTCAAAATCTCTGATGCCCTTCGTAAGCACGTATTACCATCCAGACCTAGCAAACTGGCAAATTCGTGACTTGTACTTTTGGGCAGGGATCTGAGGCTTCTTTTTGATCTGTGACAAAAATTGCAAAGGCAATTTCTTCTCAGAGGCAGTAT